TGTTCACATTCAGCTTTTTACCTTTCATTTTCTTATTCTTCCAATACCCTGAGCCCGTTGCTTTATTGGCATTAGGTGCCTGGGCCTCAGAAGGCTTCTTGGTCTGGGACCCTTTATATACTTCTTCTACCTTTCGACACTGAATCACAAATCTGCTAAACTCTCGGATGTCGCAATTTGACATCTTCCGAGACATCTTCTCATTCAGGCCCCATTGGAACTTGGAGGTCATCTCAGCTGGAGTGGGTAAGGCTCTCCCATAGTTAGTGTACTTCACCAATTCATTGAATTTAGCAAAGTATTGGTCAATTGACATCGACCCTTGCTTTAGATCATTGTACTCATTCTGCTTCTGTTCCCTAGCCTCCTTAGGGAAGTAGTTATCCAAGAACAACGTCTCGAACAACCGCCAGGTGATTTCCCGGCCTTCAGCTTCTAAGGGCTGCACTGTATTGATCCACCAATCCTCAGCTTCCTCTTCCAGCATATACACGGAGTAGACCAACTTCATTGCATCAGGGCATCTCATCACCCTGAAGATCTTGTCCATAGCCTGGAGCCATTTTGCTGCCGCCATTGGATCATAGCCTCCCTTAAAAGTAGGAGGTCTGTGTTTTCGAAAAGCCGTCAATCTCATTTCTTCAGCTTCGTGTTCATCAACATGCTCAACACGTGGTTGACGAACCTCGGTGTGATGACTATGACTTCCAGAATGGTGACTAGCCTCACCCTCATTGTTACCCGCTACACCCTCTTCATGAAAAAGAGGTGGAGAAGGCGTGGCAGTGTGAGGAGGAGGAGAGGGTTGCCGGTTCGCATGTCTAGCACCCCTCAGGGTCCTCAACTCATTCATCATCGCGGCCATGGCATTCCGCGAATCTTCATTCGTCTTTAACAAATTTTAATTGGCTTGCCGGCTAGCAGTCAACTCCCTTTGCACGGCTGCAAGTGTTTCAGCCACGGGATCAGACTGCCCGCTCGTTGCCCCACGACCACTTCGGGGCCTAACTAGAGCAGCCAAAACAGGTTCTGGCTGAGCATTGGCATTCGATGGTTTAGGGTTATTCCGGTTCATCGTCACGACACTACACATGTTACACAAAGAAATGAGTTGATCAGGCTCACACTCAGTGATCACAAATGTAATAATCATAAAGAGTACCAAAACAACTATAGAGCATTAAACACCAAGCATATATATATATATATATACATATATATATACATATATCAATAGCCCACAAGTTTCCCTACAAAACTGCTCTGATACCACTTGTAACGCTCGGCCGCTTCAAGAATCAACGACTATCCCCACATACTAACACGAGACTTTTCAGTGTGCTTTTTCCTCACTCGCACACTTCCCGGGAAAACTTCCCATGAGGTCACCCATCCCAGAATTGCTCCAAGTCAAGCACGCTTAACTGTGGAGTTCTTCCGATCCGGGCTACCGAAAAGCAGATGCATCTTGTTAGTATAGGTAGTACCAATTAATTCTTATAAGCTATCCCAAACTGTGCAGTCTCACATCTGCACAGTCTTTGGAATCCCTCTCTTTCGGGTGTCAATTCGATTCATGCATGTAACCCCTCGCGGGAAGCCTGTTAGGAGCCGCTCCTTGTCCGTGCCTCTTTTGCACCGGCGATCACTCCCCTCCCTCGTCAGCGCTCGGGATGTTACATGCCCACCAGCTTCCGCCTGGTTCGTCCTCGAACCACACCGTACTGGATGAGAGGCCCTGCTCTGATACCACTTTCATTTTTATATTTTGGGCACTTTTGCCTAAACCAATTCTCAACACAGATTGATTTCTCTGTGTTTTCATTATACATTATATTAATTTAAAGCTACTTCATTCACCGGGGGAACCATACTACTTCATTCACCCGGGGGAACCATACTACTTCAATTAAAAACATACCTCATCTCTACACAAGGTGTCTAGTCTGTCTCGATACCAATTAAGTGAGTTCATTCTGAAGTGGCCTACACTATTAAATCTGATTTCCAAATTCAACAAAAAAAATTTAATTGTAATACACAAATAGATAATAATTTAGATAATACAAAAGATACATACCGATTTCCGAAGTGGCAGTCTGGCTCATACGGATCCGGCAAGAGGGGAGCAATGGGTGGAAATCTAAGCCACGCCCAGATCTGAAGCAAAACAGTGCAACCACCAATGTCTTTTCTTTTCTATGTGGGTCTATACAGTCGAACAATTGTCTAAACAAGTGTGCTAACACTGCATAACCCCAGCTATATGAACCAATCCCATCAAATTCCTCTGCAAGTAAAGAAAAGTAGCGACATCCTATTACGCTACCCCCCGACCTGTCGTAGAGGATCCAAGATCCTAAAATACGTGTAATGTGCGCCTTCGTGAAGTATACCACATTCTGAGGATGAGCGGCAACTGCACCGCAATGCGGATACACTCTGTCAAAATATGATAGCCTCACATTGCCAAAGGTCATCTCAGTGGCCTCATTGGGCCCATTACCGAAAACCTGATTACACAATTCCAGACAATCCAAGGAAGTAGATCCGGAAATGACTTGCCCATTAGTGGGCAATCCCAAGATACCCGCCACATCTTGCAATATAATCATCATCTCGCCTTGCGGCATATGCTAAGTGTGTGTCTCTAGTCTCCATCTCTCAACCAGAGCACTGATATTGCTGATAAGGGCAGCAACAATATGAAAAACATAAGACAATTATCAATTCATAGGTTCAAATACACTAACTCACAATGAATATATTTCAACACAATATATATAACAAAATTCCATAAATACATACTGCATATACCGCATGCGGGAAACATGTATGAATCCAGCCTGAGTCATGTACTCAGCGACCAAGTCTGGAATATCGTCGGGCAATGGTCCCCTAGTGGGTCTACCTCCTCGCTGAATCTTTAACTCTCTTTGGGTCTCCTCGTTCCACACAGCTTGTGAAACATGGGTGGGCTGTCTGTGCCTCCTAAGTATATCCCATCTATATGGTCTAGGAAGAACATGTGTGGTTGGATCCGTGGGCTCAGACTCGTACTTAGGTGCAGACCGAGGTGACTAAGATGACGATGACTTAGCCATGATAATATGCTACAAATTTTAAAAAGATATTATCATAATTTATTTAATTTTAAATAATTAACATGTCTAATACAGACATAACAAATTTAATAAATCACAAATAATTTTTTTTTTAAAATTTTAATGCAAAGTAACTAACATAACCTACATCACTAACAATGTTCCAAACCACTAAGCATGTTAAGTCACTAACTATGTCGCTAAAGTATTTTTTAAATCACTATTGATAATATAAGTCACTAACAATTCTCAATCACTAATAATTTCCTAGGTCACTAACAATTTCCTAAAACGCTAACAATTTCTTAAGTCAATAATATTATAATATTTCTATTGCTATAAATTAAAAATATATAAAGCAAATATTAACACTTACTTGACCGGCAAAGCTTCGCTACACAAAAGTTTACAGCAGAACTCAGAGAGAATTCTAGAGAGAAGTTAGAGGAAAATGTAAGAGAGAAGGTTAGAAGTGAAAAAATGAGGCGAAAAAATGAAGGAGGGGTATTTAAAATGGTGCAAAGTGGCAACTAGGTGAGGTGCCACTTGTTGCGCCTGGTGGGGGCGCCACTTTGCACGTTACTTTCATAATTATTTTAATTTTTTATTAAAATAATAATATATTAATTTTTTTGCCTACAATTCCAAGTTACTTTTACTCTTTTAGGACTTAACCTTTAATCTGATTGGAGGAACTTATTTATCAGTAGAAGGTGAGAAATTCATTGTAATTCATTGCAATTGGCTCGATCTAATTACTCTATTTACTATCACATTATGCGGGAATTACATTAGGTTTTTGTTCATCAACAAATTTTCTGCTCAGTAATTTTTTTAAAACTTTTAATTAATTTTTTTAGGGTGGATTTCTGTCACATTTCAAAATTTGAGAAAGTTTCAAATTTGGTTGTTGATTGGACGAAGAATTAAGGAAAAAGATTCAATGAACTCTAATATTTGTATAGTTTATGCGAGATCACATGAACAATAAGAGAGATATGAACCTGTCAGTCGAGATATTTGTCATAGATCCTTGTTCAGAACCTTTTGTTTCTTTCCAAAACTTTCAAGTAAAAAAGTTTTCTTTTGTTTTTTTCTTGGATTTCATCAATATTGCTTCAAACTAGTCTCCAAGATAATTCATGGTGGTCAAAATCGAAATTACTACTCTATCAATTTTTATTTTAAATTATATTTTGCAGGGAATGATGTCTCTGAATCATGTTAGGTTTGCACAATAGTTTTATGGGAATGGACAATGATCGTCTAATATATCCGTAAATAGTATGAAAACAGTTATATATTTCTAATTATTTATTTAAATTGCAATATTTTAATTTTTTTGTCAGAGTTGAGAAGCAAAAGTAAAGAGCCACAAAAACGTGAAAAATCTTCAAATAATTTAGGGAAAAACCACAAGAACTTCCACTACAGAAGTAGGAGTACAAGAGGATTTTGTATACTTCTTTAGCACAAAGCGATAAGATTGCACTCAACACCTCACTCGATGGATTGTTAAACAATAAACGATTAGTAGTTATTAGAAACTATTAGCGATATTTTTGTTTGTTGTTAATACTAGTTTGTAATTGGTGTACTTTGATTGTTTTTTTCAGAAAAATGTCTTCATTCAATCCTTTAGCAACTATTTTGAGCCAAAAACCTATGGATGGTACCAATTACAAACAATGGAAAACTAATCTTGATATTGTTATACAATACGAAAAGCTCAACTTTGTACTGATCGCCCCTATACCAGCGCAGCCTGCTGAAGATGCGCCTGAGGCAACAAAGGCCCAATTTCAGTAGGAGAAGGAGAAATGGGAGAAGGCAAATGTGGCAGTTGGCTGCTACATTTTAGCCAGTCTTGCCAATCACCTTCAGGAGCAGGTAAGCATGGTTGAGAGTGGAGAAGCTATGCTCCAGACTCTTGATGGCATGTTTGCTACGTCTAGCAGCTCTGCTAGGCAGATTGCGCTGAATGCTGTCACTAAGACAGTAATGCCTGGAGGAATTGTGCAGGATCATTGTTTGTCAATGATTGCAAACTTCAAGAAGGCTGAGGATCATAGGGTTACGTTTGAACAAGAAGTGAAAATTGACCTTCTCTTACAATCACTCCCTGATTACTTCAATCAGTTCAAGATGAACTATAATATGAACATGTTGAATCTTGATCTCAAGTTGATGCACGAGCTTGAGAGTGCTGAACAGTCTCTGGTCAAGCAGGGTAGTGCATTTTTTGTTGGTGAGAGTTTTGGAAAACCTAAGGGGAAACCCAAGGGTAAGAAAAAGAACAAGAAAAAGAAGAAATCAAGGATTCCAGTAGCCAGGCCTGTTGCAGTGAAGTAGCCGAAAGGAAAGTGCTTCAAATGCGGACAACAGGGGAATTGGAGAAAAAATTGCCCTCGTGTGAATCAACAAGGTATGGGTAATTTATTTGTGATTGAGGCTTGTTTAGTGGAGAATTACAATGATATATGGATCATTGATTCAGGAGCCACTAATCGTGTTTGTTGCTCTTTGCAGTGGTTCAAACATAGCTTGCCGATCAGTGAAGGACAAAGAGTGTTGAAGCTTGGCAATGGGGAACTTGTGTCTGCACTAGCAGTAGGACAAGTTATTTTATCTTTTAATAATTACAGAACTTTGGTTTTGGAAGACTGTTTGTTTATTCCGGATTTTAAGAGGAATTTGATTCCTGTTAGTTGTTTGTTTAAACATGGTTTGACAGTTCAATTTAATTCCTCAGTTACTATTAGAAGTTCATCTTCTTTTATCTGTTCCAGTGAATTGTTTAATGGTCTGTATTTCCTTAGTCCTGCACCCTGTGAAATTAATCATGTTGAATTAGAGGATGATGAGCATACTCATTCTTCAAAGAAAAGAAAAGTTTCCAATGAAACTTACCTTTGGCATTTGAGATTGGGTCATATTAATTCTAAGAGGATACACGGTTTGGTGAAAAGTGGGATTTTAAAATCCCTGGACTTTGAACCAATGCCAGTATGTGAATCTTGTTTAGAGGGAAAAATGACTATGCGATCCTTCAAAACCAAAGGGAATTGTGCCACACTTCAGCTGGAATTGGTACGTACTAATGTATGTGGACCAATAAATGTCCAGGTCAGAGGCGAGTATCAGTACTTCATCATATTTATGATGATTACTCTAGATTTGGACATGTGTACCTGATGCGTCATAAGTCTAAGGCTTTTGGTAAATTCCAAGAGTTACAGGCTGAGGTAGAAAAACATCTTGGTGTTCAAATTAAGACGCTTCGGTCTGACCGAGGGGGTGAATACCTATCTGGCGAGTTCAGGTCTTACTTGACCAAAGAGGGGATAGTTTCACAATTATCTTCTCCTGGGACACCCCAGCAGAATGGAGTCGCTGAAAGGAGAAATAGAACCCTTTTAGAGATGGCAAGATCGATGCTCAGTTATTCACCTTTGCCTGATTCATTCTGGGGATATGCCTTAGAAACTGCTATGTACCTTTTGAACTTGGCTCCATCAAAATCTGTTTTAAAGACACCAATAGAATTATAGAAAGGGTGTAAGCCCAGCTTGAACCATATTCGGATTTGGGGTGCTCCGGCACATGTCTTACAACAGAAGCCAAATAAGATGGACTCTCGTACAGAAGTGTGCATGTTTATAGGCTATTCTAAAGGAACCAGTGGCTGGTTATTTTATAGTCCGAAAGAAAAGAAGGTGTTAGTGAGTACACATGCGACTTTCTTATAGGAGGAGTGTATGGCAAATCACAAGCCGAAGAGTACGGTTATACTTGATGAGATAGACTCGGATCAAGTTTCGCCTCAACCTCAAGGGGTTCCAGCTTTTATTCCTGTATTTGTTCAAAGAGGGAAAAATATGCCCGAAGTTGAACATACTCAGGAACCAGAAACAGAACCAGAAATTCAGCATGATGAACAACAAGTGGAATTATCACTTGTGGTATAACAAAATCAAATGGTTAATCCAGAAATGAATGAGGGCCATCCTCCTGAAATTGTTAACCCACCAGACTTGGATCATCCTGTAGATGCTCAACAACAAGTGCAGCACAGTCGTATTGGGAGATTGATTCGTAAACCAGCAAGATATCTCTTGTTGGGTGAATCGAGTCAAGATGTCGTCATTGAGAATGATGATGATCCCACTAGTTATGACAAGGCACTAGAAGATGTTGATGCTCAGGAATGGCTTGAGGCTATGAATCGTGAGATGGGATCTATGTATTCTAACTTAGTTTGGACTCTTGTAGAAGCACCTAAAGGGGCAAGACCCATTGGATCCAAGTGGATCTACAAGAGAAAGAGAGGATAAGACGGAAAGGTTCAAATCTTCAAAGCTAGATTGGTGGTGAAAGGGTACACCCAAATAGAAGGTGTCTATTATGAAGAAACCTTTTCGCCGGTTGCCATGCTCAAGTCCATCCGGATTCTTTTAGCTCTTGCAGCAAATCTTGATTATGAGATTTGGCAAATGGATGTCAAAACCGCTTTTCTAAATGGAAATTTGGAAGAGGATATCTATACGGAGCAGCCAAAAGGGTTCATAGCCAAAGGGCAAGAAAATATGGTATGCAAGTTGCAAAGGTCCATCTATGGACTTAAGCAAGCATCCAGAGAATGGAACATCAGATTTGATCAGGCTATTAAGTCTTATGGTTTTTTGAAAAGTCCTGATGAGCCGTGTGTGTATAAAAGGATCCAAGGTAACGCAATATCTTTTCTAGTGCTTTATGTGGATGATATTCTCCTCATCGGAAATGATGCAGAGGTATTGTCAGGCATAAAGACCTGGCTGAGCAAGCATTTTGATATGAAGGACTTGGGAGAGGCCAATTATATTCTTGGTATTAAACTCTTGCGAGACCGTAAGAACAGGGTATTGACATTATCCCAGGCTAACTACATTGACAAAATACTTGCCAGGTTCAGCATGGAGAATTCCAAGAGGGGAATTCTACCCTTCAGGCATGTGATTTATCTATCTAAGGAGCAGTCTCCTAAGACTCCTGAGCAGAAAGAACGCATGAGTAGGATACCTTACGCTTCAGTGGTAGGTAGTCTCATGTATGCTATGCTGTGCACCAGACCAGATATCTGCTATGCAGTGGGAGTAGTAAGCCGGTACCAATCTAATCCTGGAGAGGAACACTGGATAGCGATTAAACATATACTCAAGTACCTACGGAGAACGAGAGATTATATGTTGGTCTATTCTAGTGTGAGTTTTGAAACCGTTGGTTACACAGACTCATATTTCCATGGAGATATTGACTCAAGAAAGTCAACCTCAGGATATATGTTTACCCTTAATGACAGGTCCATTTGTTGGAGGAGTGTCAAACAACCATGTGTGGCAGACTCTACAACAGAGGCTGAGTATGTAGCTGCTTCTGAGGCAGCAAAAGAAACTGCATGGTTAAAGAAGTTCCTAACGGATCTTCAGGTGATACCAGGTGTTAGCCGTCCCATTGTACTTTATTGTGATAACAGTGGGGCAGTAGCACAGTCCAAGGAACCAAGGTATCACAAAAGGCAAAATCACATAGAGAGGAAGTATCACTTGATCTGAGATATCATTGAAAGAGGAGACATAGTGGTTGCCAAGATAACATCAGATGAGAACCTTGCTGACCCTTTTACTAAGAGTTTGCCTGAACGTGTGTTCGAGAGCCATGTTACATCTATGGGTCTTAGGAGGATTCCAGATTTGCTATAGCTTTAGGAGTTAATTTTTCACTTTGTTATTTTGTGTTTTTTGAGCAAGACATTATGGCATTGTCATTTTTCTGGATGTTATAAATGAGGTATTTTTCATTTATTTCGCACACTATTTACAAACACTAAGGTCCAGATCAATTGTGGAGTATATGACCATATGGATACGTTCATGGAGGACATGGTCATTGGTTCTCACAATTGATGAATAAGTTCACAGCCGTTGATAAAGTTGGGCACTTTATTTAGGCTGCAATATTTTACGAAATGGTTTTTTCCGAACCATTGTAAAATATTGATGTGAATTAATACTCACATTGAAAGGATCTAGGAGAGATTTGATTAAGGTTGTTTTTCTGTCATAAGGTATCAAATCTCCAGTTAACTATAGTTATGTAATTGCTCTTAATCCTGAGTTTATTATAAATAGGTAATCAAATAGTTTTCATTCTTTGATTTACCAACGGGTGAGGTTCGATCTATTGACGACCAATAACTCGATATTTTGGGAGTGGAATTATTTGATTATCGGTATTTATGAGATAAACAACAAGGAGTTTATAGGAAATGTCCTCTTGATATGTTTCAGTACTTGGATATTAAAGACACTGGCCAGTGCAATTAATCCATTAGAGAAACTATCATAGTCAAGTGAATAAATAATTGATTGGGTTACAGAAAATTAATCAATCAATTATAGACATTCTGTAAAGGGGCAATGCATATTCATGTTATAAAGGTAATTAATCTTGGAGTTCACGTTTGGGCTTTTAGTGGAGGAGCGCCGAATCAGATAATCTTTCAAAGATTATCAGGAGGCTTGATGAGTGACATATGGTAGATCTCCAAGCTAAAATGAGACAAGGTATGAGTTGTATAATCAAATGATGATGGCTTATGGGCTACATAGTCTTGGGTTTATGAACTCAAGTTTGTGTCCAAAAGAGCAAGTGGGAGATTGCTGAGTTTAGTATGCTCTTCTCACTTAAGCCCAATAGCTTTAGTGAGAGTGAGCCCAAAAGAGTAATTTCAACCCATGAAGCTTAAGGTTATTCTTGGATTGGGCAGAGTATATAAACTCTCTTTTCTCTCCAGTGCCTCCTAGGGTTACAGACATCAGAAACACACCAAAGAGGCCGACGTTCATCATCTGAACGGTTGCCCACACGACTCCCTGATCCCCTTGAGTCATAGCCTGGAAGATCAACCGAAGAACGGATTTTGCGATCGTTCGTGGTGCGTTGCTGCAGATCGTGAGGCTTGAGAAGGAGAACTGAATGTGAGAATTAGTCACGCTCGCTACTTCCCCCAGGTAATCAAAGCGGTGTCTTTATTCTTCATTGCATCGGTACGATGTTCTTCCACATTTCTGATGATATACCTTCAGTTATTTGTTTTATCATTCACCCAATGTCTTTATTCTTCATCGCATCGGTAAGATAGCTTAGTGTTCTTGTTGGATAAATCATCTGAAGTTCTGATCCTCTTTACATTTAAATCATCTGTAATTTAAACTTTCGTCAAAGATTAAATTACACCAAAAATGAATTCTTCATTTTACATAGTTCTTAGTTACCTTAGATGAAACAAAAGGATTGGTTTCTCCTATAATCGC